CCAATAACAGTTCATGAAAAAATTTTCCAATAAAATGTTATTGGAAAATTGTCGCAAAATCGCTCTAAATCCGAAATCTTGTCATATTTTTCCTTTAACCTCTCGAGTTTTCCAGAAAAAAAATATATCTGTTTTGTCTTTGTCATAAGAAACAATGTGTTAAAAAAGAACTCTCATAAGGAAAATGAGATTGGTCTCCTTCTAAACAATGTGTTAGAAGGAATGAAACATTTATAATTTTTTTTCTAGAAAACGGTCAAAGATAGGCCTAATAGGCATTCCAACGCCCTGTCAAAACTATTCCAAAATGGCCAGCGTGGCGGAAATTCCTTATTCCGTATATGAGAGTATAGAATTTAAAGCTTTTTTAAGTGCATTGTGTGGTTGTTTTGTGACTAAACCCTATTCATTTTTTTTATTTTATTGACTTTATAAGGCTTTTCTCTAATTAAAAATGACACAAAGATGTTTTGTAGTTGATTTTGAAGGCATTTCAACAAGGATAATATCAGGTTGTTTTCAGTGCCCAACTTTTCAAATTTTTCCAATTAAAACGTAAAAATTATACAGTACCACTGTTCCTGCATCTAAAATAAAGCCATACTCGAAATACTTGTAAGAATCTAAGCTTTTGTAGGCCTTCATTTGCTCATTGCTGGAAAAACTAGGTCAAAATGTGAGTCAAAATGTAAACAAATGTCAACTATAGTTTATTTTTTCCCAAGATAGATTTTGGCATTGTCAACTTTGAAACATAAACAATGCCGCTTATTGGTCGCTATTGTAAAACTGATGTCAACCTGCAGAAACACCTCATATTGCGACCAATCAGGGTCAAGCGTTATTGTTTATCTTTCAAAGTTTTCAATGTCAAAATCTAGGTATCTTGGGAAAAAATAAAGTGTAGACATTTTTTTCAAACTTATCGTTCGTCCACATCCCGATTTTCCTGCATTAAAGTCTTTGAATATTCACTCTGCATCTCAAAAAGTATATTATAACAAAATAAACTGTAATTAGCTCGAAATTATTCTAAATAATCTCAAGATAAACAAACAAACATCAAATTTTCCTTAGTCGCCATATTGAAAAATCACGTGATTTGGAGAGCCTAATTGAATAATATGTATAAGGTTACATATTGTGTCATTAAAATAAGCAATAATAGAGCTATCAATGAGTTATTAATATATAGGGTTTTTTTATTAAAAAAATAAGACAGACATAAAAAGTACAGGGTTATTGGTTATAAATGTCACCCCCATCTATCTTTTTAATTTGACATTTTAGAAAAAAGTGTCTCAAATAAAAGTTCTAGGTATAGTTGAAATAATTTTTTTTGAAAAACTCACTTTCGCATATACAGGGTGTTTCAGAAACGCTAATCGTTCTCCAACTTTCTTATTTTAAATGGAATACCCTATATATTATTGAATAATCGGATTCTACATAAAATTCTGGGCAGATTTCATGTAATATACCCTATACCTAAGTTCAACTGTTATGGAAATATTGACAGTTGAAAATTGACTTTTTTGCAACTTTGACAGGGTTTTAAACCTAAACGGTTGATTTTAGAGCTCTTACATTTTCATCTCGATTTTTATTTTAAATTTTCATAAACTATCAGTTGACACTGATATTTGACATACCAACATCAAATTTAATCCATGATTAAAAATTCCATTTAAATTTAATCTCCGATTAAATTCAAAGTTCGTGTCAAATGAAAATCTAAGAAAAAAATGTAAGATCGGTTTTGCAAAAAAGTCAATTTTCAACTGTCAATATTTCCAAAATAGTTGAACTTAGGTATAGGGTATATCAAATGAAATCTGCTCAGACTTTTATGCAGAATTCGAATATCTAATAATATACAGGGTATTCTATTTAAAATAAGAAAGTTGGAGCACGACCAGCTTTTCTGAAACACCCTGTATATGCAAAAGTGAGTTTTTCAAAAAATTTAATTTCAACCATAAAACTTTTATTTGGAACACTTTTTTCTATAATGTCAAATAAAAAAGATAGAGGGGGGTGACATTTATAACCAATAACCCTGTACGTAGTACGTCATTGAATTCTGCTTGGAAAAGTACCTTCAGAAAGTTTATACAGAAATCAATTATTTTCATAAATAAAAAAGTTAGGAAGGTTTCACCTTATCGCTCAAAATCGAGAAACACCATCTAGCGACAAAACGATTGAGGGTATCAAAAGGCGGTTTGCAATGTTTGCATCAATCAAGATATCATCAAATTTGAGCCTCAGCAGACTGGAGAGTTCATTTTTATGTATCTGGCTTAAAATTTGACATTTCAGATCAAAAGTGTCCAAATTGGACCAACCTGTATCTACATTCTTTAGCGTATAAGTAAAGTAAAAATAAATTTTCAAAAAATCATTGTGGATAATTCTTAGCCTGCGCCCCCCCCCCCCCCCCTCCCCGGAAAAAAATCCTGGATCCGCCACTGAGAATTGTTTTAGAAGTATTGCCGGACTTCGTGCGGTAATTCGAGGGTATTTTGCGTACTTCGACGGTACTTCCATGGGATTTCGCGTACTTCGACGGGAATACCTGGTATTTCGAGGTACTTCACGGTATTTTTAGGTACTTCGAAGGTAATTCGGGCCAAGTAAACACGTATTTCGGGAAGTGCATGTGACACATCAACATGTAAACGTAAAGCCAGCAGTCCCCTAATAATTAAAAAAAATCTGTAACTCAGTTAATAATTAATCAATCCAAATTTTTCTTGGACTATTTAGGAGCACCTAAAAAGCACCTAATTCTGATACAAAGAAGAAATTTGAAAAAAATATTTTTCACTATAGGGGACTACTAGCTTTCATAAACCTAGCAATCCCTTAGTTTTTTTTGATTTTCTCAAAAACTAGAGGAGCACCTAATTTTTAATTAGAGGCCCTAATTAGCACCTAAAAAGCACCTAATTATTATATAGATCCCGAAGTTTTTTTCCATTATGACACATCAACATGTAAACGTAAAGCCAGCAGTCCCCTAATAATTAAAAAAAATCTGTAACTCAGTTAATAATTAATCAATCCAAATTTTTCTTGTACTATTTAGGAGCACCTAAAAAAGCACCTAATTCTGATACAAAGAAGAAATTTGAAAAAAATATTTTTCACTATAGGGGACTACTAGCTTTCATAAACCTAGCAATCCCTTAGTTTTTTTTGATTTTCTCAAAAACTAGAGGAGCACCTAATTTTTAATTAGAGGCCCTAATTAGCACCTAAAAAGCACCTAATTATTATATAGATCCCGAAGTTTTTTTCCATTATGACACATCAACATGTAAACGTAAAGCCAGCAGTTGAAAAAAATATTTTTCACTATAGGGGACTACTAGCTTTCATAAACCTAGCAATCCCTTAGTTTTTTTTGATTTTCTCAAAAACTAGAGGAGCACCTAATTTTTAATTAGAGGCCCTAATTAGCACCTAAAAAGCACCTAATTATTATATAGATCCCGAAGTTTTTTTCCATTATGACACATCAACATGTAAACGTAAAGCCAGCAGTCCCCTAATAATTAAAAAAAATCTGTAACTCAGTTAATAATTAATCAATCCAAATTTTTCTTGTACTATTTAGGAGCACCTAAAAAAGCACCTAATTCTGATACAAAGAAGAAATTTGAAAAAAATATTTTTCACTATAGGGGACTACTAGCTTTCATAAACCTAGCAATCCCTTAGTTTTTTTTGATTTTCTCAAAAACTAGAGGAGCACCTAATTTTTAATTAGAGGCCCTAATTAGCACCTAAAAAGCACCTAATTATTATATACCTAGTTCCCGAAGTTTTTTTCCACCTTGGGACTGCTAGGTTTATAGACCTCTAAAAGTACAGTGCAGATGGGATAGAACAGAAAGTCCAGTACAAAAAAATGCAGTTCAGAAAGTGTAGAGCAACTAGAATAGAACAAAAAGTGCAGTGCACAATGTAAACCAATTTGAAACTTATTTAGAATTCTAGTAGAGACTTGCACTACACTTTCAAAACGGAAACTGAGTGTTTCTAGAACAAGTACAATTTGTTGATCTGTAAACGAAACTAGAGTTAAAATTTAGAATTTCTAGCTTCAAAACTCTGCAGCTACAAAACTATTAGAACTGGATTGAAATTGTTAATTTTATTCGGAACAAAATGTCAAGAAGAAATTTCAAGAACCTGGAATAAACAAAGAATGAACTTCCATATAAACTTCTTTATTGAAAATGTTGGAGGAATTGGATTGAAATTCAACAAGTTGATGAAGGAAAGATTGAAATTGAATTGAACTCTTAAAATTTCCAACTTCAAAATGTTGCAGCTGCAAAACTACTGGAGCTGGATTAAAGTTGTTAATTTTATTGTAAATTGATTCATTAAGGACCAGTTTATCAGCAGATGGTTATTTAGTTTAGCTGTTGGTTAACGAATAATTATCATTGAATTGGTTAACCATCAGCTAAATTAGATAACCAACCACTGATAAACTAGCCCTAAGTTATCTTTAAAATGCAAATGAGTCTGAAATATATTCAAATTAAACAATACAGTGGTTTTAAGAAATACCTGAAATTGTCAGCAATAATGTGTAAGTTGGTTAAGGGCCAAATTATGGATCAACTGGTAAGTGTTTGGTTGTTACCTAGTAGGTACTTTCTATGCTCTAGATCTAGATAATAGAAAGTACCTGCTAGGTAACAACCAGACACTTTTCAAATGGTTCATAATTTGGCCCTAAATCGTATAAAAATTGAAGCTGGAAGAAAAAGTGAAATTGAAGAAAACTTGTACCTGAAAAAGTGCAATGTATTAAAAATCAGTTTTGTGCAGTTTTGAAGCGACCCTGAACAAATAAAACGAGGCATTCGATTGAAAAACGATTCAAAAAAATACATTCCAAACCTTAGGAATGTATCAAAAAAAGAAAATCTATTTTTCAGCACATTAATAATATAATTTCTATTGGGCTTTTTACTTACCTGTTTCCAAATATTCTACACTATTATTTAACTACTTTTTAGGAAATATTTCCATGGAAAATCAAGGAAAATTGAATAAAATTAACCGGCTTCCTCAAGATGGGCAAAATGATTAAAAATTAAAATCATAACCTCACAAAACTCATAAAATGTCATTGAATCAAAATAGCCGAATTATATCTGTCTTTGTCTATTGCATACAACTAGAAAGAGATAAAAAAATTATTACAAGTGACAAGCTCAAAAAATGACTGAGACAACCTAACCTAAAAAGCAAAACATTTCTTTTTGGAGATTTTTATTTAGCAAAAATCTTTTAAAATTATGTCTGGAAATGCAGATAAAGCCTTGAATATTTTGAAATCCTTGCCTAGAGTGTGCCTGGGAAATATCAGGGATAATCCTGGCTCAAGATTGGTAGGTAAATGACAATTTTTTGAATTAATTTCAACCTAAATATATTATGTATAATCAGTTCCTATTTGAAAACCATCATCAATTATCAAGTTTTGTTCATTTTCTAGGGTACAAAAAGGGGTAGAGGCCAGCATGGTGGTGATAAACATGGGGACGGTAATAAGGGGTCTGGTCAAAGGCAGAATTTCATGCGAATTGGTTACGAGACTGGCAACACGCCTTTCTATATGAGATTCAAAAAGGAGGAATATTATAAAGGGCACCAGTAAGTAGCAAGGATTTCTTAATTTGGTCCATTTCCTATACTTATAGACTTAAGTAGGTAGGACAGGTAGGTACTTTTAGTAGCTGCTGGGCAGAGCTGTTACATTACAAGTACCTACATTACCAAAGTACTTGGAGTACAAGTACAAAGTACTCAAAGTTTTAAAGGAGTAATTGAAATACAGAGTACATTTTTTCTTAAATTTACTCCAACTACCAAGCACTTAATAAAATAAGAGTACTGAAAATTTTCAGAGTTTTCCACTTGTAGTACAATTATTGAAGTAAGTATATCAAGTATTTGTACTTCAAATATAACAATTTTTTCATTTATCATTTTTTTTTGGTACCTCTGTTAAAAGTTAACCAACAACCCAACGAGCAGCCTGTAATGTCTCTGTTACTGGACACTTTTTCAAATTATTAATGAAATGCCTATTCAGAATTAAGTTGAGTGAAAAAGACCCATATATAGATACTTGAGTACTTGGTTTTTATAAGCATTTTACTGTACAATCAAAGTACATAAAGCAAGATATAGAAAGTCTATCTTCAATACTCAATAAATTATTGATTATTTCACCATCCCAGAATTGGTGCAAACAATTCCTCAAAAGCGAATTTTTTACGCATAATTCCTGCAGATTCCTCCAAATACCCCATCACAAATTCCTTCAAATACCCCACCACGAACTTCTCCAAATACCCTACAAATTCCTCTAAATTCCTTGCGAATTCCTATAAATTCTCACAAATTCCTCCAAACTCTTCTCAAATTTCCTACAAATGTCTCTCATAAGTGGGAAACAGCAACATGAAAAATCTTGGAAATCAACCTAAAAAAACTGGATTAGTTGAAAATATAGTCTCACACATTTCAAAGTTTTCCTGGAAAACTAGTAAAGGGAAAATTTTGAAACTTTTTGCATGTAAAGAGAAAGGTTGAAAGCTCATTTTCCCAAAATTTCAAATTTTTCCAGTAGAAAACAGCAACATGGAAAAATCTTGGAAATCAACCTACAAAAACTGAATTAGTTGAAAATACAGTCTCACATATTTTAAAGTTTTTTTGAAACTTTTTGCATGTAAAAAGGAAGCTGAGAAGCTCATTTCCCAAAATTTCAAATTTTTCCAGTTGAAAACAGCCACATGAAAAATCTTGTAAATCAACCTACAATAGCTATTTACCTAACAAGTGCGGAAAATGAATTTTTTCCGCACTGACAGCCGTGCGGAAAAACTTTTTCCGCACTGATATGTCAAAAAAAAAGTTTTACCGCACCGTGCGGGAAAACTCATTTTCCGCACGCATATCAGTGCGGAAAATCGATTTTTCCGCACGGCTGTAGGAAAAAACTGAATTAGTTGAAAATACAGTCTCAGACATTTTAAAGTTTTCCTGGAAAACTAGTAAAGGGAAAATTTTGAAACTTTTTGCATGTAGAGAGGTAGGTGAGAAGCTTATTTTCCCAAAATTTCAAATTTTTTCAGTAAAAAATTACAACATGAGGAATCTTGGAAATCAACCTACAATAACTGAATTAATTGAAAATACAGTCTCACATATTTCAAAGTTTTCTTAAAAAACTAGTGAAGGGAAAATTTTGAAACTTTGTGCATGTAAAGAGGAAGCTGAGAAGCTCATTTTCCCTATATTTCAAATTTTTCCAGTGAAAAACAGCAACATGAAATATCTTGGAAATCAACCTACAAAAACTCAATTAGTTGAAAATACAGTCTCACACATTTCAAAGTTTTCCTGGAAAACTAGTGAAGGGAAAATTTTGAAACTTTTTGCATGTAAAGAGGAAGGTGAGAAGCTTATTTTCCCAAAATTTCAAATTTTTTTAGTAAAAAATAACAACATAAAGAATATTGGAAATCAACCTACAATAACTGAATTAATTGAAAATACAGTTTCACATATTTCAAAGTTTTCCTGGAAAACTAGAGAAAAGAAAATTTTGAAACTTTTTGCATGTAAAGAGGAAGGTGAGAAGCTCATTTTTCCAAAATTTCAAATTTTTCCAGTAGAAAATTACAACATGAGGAATCTTTGAAAATCAACCTACAATAACTGAAATAATTGAAAATCGAGTTGAAAATACAGTTTCACACATTTCAAAGTTTTCCTGGAAAACTAGTGAAAGGAACATTTTGAAACTTTTTGCATGTAAAGAGGTAAGTGAGAAGCTCATTTTCCCAAAATTTTAAATTTTTCCAGTGAAAAACAGCTACATGAATAATTTTGGGAATCAACATACAAAAACTGAATTAGTTGAAAATATAGTCTCACACATTTCAAAGTTTTCCTGGAAAACTAGTGAAGGGACAATTTTGAAACTTTTTGCATTTAAAGAGGAAGGTGAGAAGTTTATTTTCCCAAAATTTCAAATTTTTTCAGTAGAAAATTACATGAGGAATCTCGGAAATCAACCTACAATAACTGAATTAATTGAAAATACAGTCTCACATATTTCAAATTTTCCTAAAAAACTAGTGAAGGGAAAATTTTGAAACTTTTTGTGTGTAGAGAGGAAGGTGAGAAGCTCATTTTCCCAAAGTTTCAAATTTTTCCAGTGAAAAACAGTATGTAACATGAAAAATTTTGGAAATCAGCCTACAAAAACTGTATTCATTATTTTTTTGAATTTGGACCTGTAAATCATGAAGTGTAATTTCGGGAGGATTTCTTTAATAAAAATGAATATTCAACGTCCAACACAAAACTAGATTTTTTTTTTTTAATTTCCATTTATTACTATGTATTTCTTATAATAAGAAGGTGAACCTCAATGATGTCATGACCTTTCAGTTTCGTTCAAGTTCCTCACAAATTCTCATAAATTCCGATGAGTTCCTTCAAATTTCCCACAAATTCCTCCAAATTCCACACATTTTTGGCAAAAAATTCCTAGGTGGTTTGCCCCTTGGATTATTTACTTGCTAGGTAAATTTACTACGGGGATACCTTGCGTATATATTTAATATTTTGGTTAATATTGAAATAATACTATCTATATCTCATGTTACGAACGCTTAATGTAAAATAGAATAACACTGTGACCATTGTGGTCAAAAAATACTGGTACAAGAGGAAAAATCAAAACTTCATGCTCCTAGACTATACGGATAACCTTTCATTCAAATTACAGGTAATATTACCTCCAACGGGAGCAACTGAAAGGTTTTTATAGTCTAGCTAGGAGCAACATGTTCTGATTTATTTTTATTTCATTCAATATTTTTTGGTACATATAAATGATAGTTTGTAGTAGGTAACATAACAAAAGAAAAACTTTTGAAGTACCTACTTGCAACACTTTCATTGTACTTGAAGTTCTTCTATAGTACTTGGAGTATTTACTTCTGATGTACCTACTTCAAGTAGGTACTTCCATGTGCTTAAAATACTTTTCAACGTACTCCATGTCATTGTATTTGATTGCATAAATGCAAAGTACATTGTTAAATATAGTTCAAGTACCAAGTACAATTATCGTTTAGCCTGAGGGGTTTTTCACCTAACAAAATTTGTACACCAATTAACAGTACTTACTAAGATATTTCCATGTATAAACAGATATTTCTATGTACCTAATAACAAGTTATTGCCAACTATTTCCATGTATGTATTACCAAAATATTGCCAGGTATTTCTGTAGTATTATCGCATAACACCAGGTATTGCCATGCTATTGACAGACTGAAATCAAATATTTGTCTTGCCATAATTCTAGGTATTGACATATCCATAGGTATTTACATGTTAATAATGAGTATCAACAAATGACATTAATATTGCCTAGATATCTACAAGTATTCACATATATTACCTACATAATTAACAAGTAGATATTGCATAGTATTGACACTATTGACATAGTATTTACCTGGTATTGACATATATTAACCAGTGCACCGATTAACAAGGTGAAAAACCCCTCGCTCTGAAGTATTTTTCAAAGGTGATTTGACGTAAATTTTCCAACTTTGGTGTTAAGTTGAAAAAAACTTCATAATTTTATTTCTGAACTTCAGATTGATTTCAAATTTGCCTTGTTTAATGAAAAAATCCCGGTTAACAAATTTTGAAAGTTTGAAATCGATCTGATATTCCGAAGTATTTTTCAAAGACTTTTCAAAGGTGATATAACATGGATTTTTCAACTTTTTCTGGAATTAAGTTGGAAAAAACCTCAGAATTTTATTTCTGAGCTTCAAACTGACTTCAAATTTGCCTTGTTTGATGAAAACATCGTGGTTAATAAATTCTGAAAGTTTGAAATTGATCTGATACTCCGAAGTATTTTTCAGGATTTTTCAAATGTGATTTAACATGAATTTTCCAACTTTTTCTGGTATTAAGTTAGATTAAACCTTATAATTTTATTTCTGAGCTTCAGATTGACTTCAAATTTGCCTTGTGTGATAAAAACATCCTAATTAATAAATCCTGAAAGTTTGAAATTGATCTGATACTCCGAAGTATTTTTCAGGATTTTTCAAAGGTTATTTAACATGTATTTTCCAACTTTTTCTGGTATTAAGTTGGATAAAACCTTATAATTTTATTTCTGAGCTTCAGATTGACTTCAAATTTGCCTTGTGTGATAAAAACATCCTAATTAATAAATCCTGAAAGTTTGAAATCGATCTGATACTCTGAAGTATTTTTCAGGATTTTTCAAAGGTGATTTAACATGTATTTTCCAACTTTTTCTGGTATTAAGTTAGATAAAACCTCATAATTTTATTTCTGAGCTTCAGATTGACTTCAAATTTGCCTTGTGTGATAAAAACATCCTAATTAATAAATCCTGAAAGTCTAAAATCGATCTGATACTCCCAAGTATTTTTCAGGATTTTTCAAAGGTGATTTAACATGTATTTTCCAACTTTTTCTGGTATTAAGTTGGATAAAACCTTATAATTTTATTTCTGAGCTTCAGATTGACTTCAAATTTGCCTTGTGTGATAAAAACATCCTAATTAATAAATCCTGAAAGTTTGAAATTGATCTGATACTCTGAAGTATTTTTCAGGATTTTTCAAAGGTGATTTAACATGTATTTTCCAACTTTTTCTGGTATTAAGTTAGATAAAACCTTATAATTTTATTTCTGAGCTTCAGATTGACTTCAAATTTGCCTTGTGTGATAAAAACATCCTAATTAATAAATCCTGAAAGTTTGAAATCGATCTGATACTCCGAAGTATTTTTCAGGATTTTTCAAAGGTGATTTAACATGTATTTTCCAACTTTTTCTGGTATTAAGTTGGATAAAACCTTATAATTTTATTTCTGAGCTTCAGATTGACTTCAAATTTGCCTTGTGTGATAAAAACATCCTAATTAATAAATCCTGAAAGTTTGAAATCGATCTGATACTCCGAAGTATTTTTCAGGATGTTTCAAAGGTGATTTAACATGTATTTTCCAACTTTTTCTGGTATTAAGTTGTTAAAAACCCCATAATTTCATTTCTGAGGTTCAGATTGACTTCAAATTTGCCTTGTGTGATAAAAACATCCTAATTAATAAATCCTGAAAGTTTGAAATTGATCTGATACTCTGAAGTATTTTTCAGGATTTTTCAAAGGTGATTTAACATGTATTTTCCAACTTTTTCTGGTATTAAGTTAGATAAAACCTCATAATTTTATTTCTGAGCTTCAGATTGACTTCAAATTTGCCTTGTGTGATAAAAACATCCTAATTAATAAATCCTGAAAGTTTGAAATCGATCTAATACTCCGAAGTATTTTTCAGGATTTTTCAAAGGTGATTTAACATGTATTTTCCAACTTTTTCTGGTATTTAGTTGGATAAAACCTTATAATTTTATTTCTGAGCTTCAGATTGACTTCAAATTTGCCTTGTGTGATAAAAACATCCTAATTAATAAATCCTGAAAGTTTGAAATCGATCTGATACTCCGAAGTATTTTTCAGGATTTTTCAAAGGTGATTTAACATGTATTTTCCAACTTTTTCTGGTATTAAGTTGGATAAAACCTTATAATTTTATTTCTGAGCTTCAGATTGACTTCAAATTTGCCTTGTGTGATAAAAACATCCTAATTAATAAATCCTGAAAGTTTGAAATTGATCTGATACTCCGAAGTATTTTTCAGGATTTTTCAAAGGTGATTTAACATGTATTTTCCAACTTTTTCTGGTATTAAGTTGGATAAAACCTTATAATTTTATTTCTGAGCTTCAGATTGACTTCAAATTTGCCTTGTGTGATAAAAACATCCTAATTAATAAATCCTGAAAGTTTGAAATCGATCTGATACTCCGAACTATTTTTCAGGATTTTTCAAAGGTGATTTAACATGTATTTTCCAACTTTTTCTTGTATTAAGTTGGATAAAACCTCATAATTTTATTTCTGAGCTTCAGATTGATTTCAAATTTGCCTTGTGTGATAAAAACATCCTAATTAATAAATCCTGAAAGTTTGAAATCGATCTGATACTCCGAAGTATTTTTCAGGATTTTTCAAAGGTGATTTAACATGTATTTTCCAACTTTTTCTGGTATTAAGTTGGATAAAACCTTATAATTTTATTTCTGAGCTTCAGATTGACTTCAAATTTGCCTTGTGTGATAAAAACATCCTAATTAATAAATCCTGAAAGTTTGAAATCGATCTGATATTCCGAACTATTTTTCAGGATTTTTCAAAGGTGATTTAACATGTATTTTCCAACTTTTTCTTGTATTAAGTTGGATAAAACCTCATAATTTTATTTCTGAGCTTCAGATTGATTTCAAATTTGCCTTGTGTGATAAAAACATCCTAGTTAATAAATCGTGAAAGTTTGAAATCGATCTGATATTCCGAAGTATTTTTCAGGATTTTTCAAAGGTGATTTAACATGTATTTTCCAACTTTTTCTGGTATTAAGTTGGATAAAACCTTATAATTTTATTTCTGAGCTTCAGATTGATTTCAAATTTGCCTTGTGTGATAAAAACATCCTAATTAATAAATCCTGAAAGTTTGAAATCGATCTGATACTCGGAAGTATTTTTCAGGATTTTTCAAAGGTGATTTAACGTGAATTTTCCATCTTTTTCTGGTATTAAGTTGTTAAAAACCCCATAATTTCATTTCTGAGGTTCAGATTGACTTCAAATTTGCCTTGTGTGATAAAAACATCCTAATTAATAAATCCTGAAAGTTTGAAATTGATCTGATACTCTGAAGTATTTTTCAGGATTTTCTGTAATCCTGAAAGTTTCAAGATGTTGAGATAACTCAAAGTATTTGATTTTTTCAAAATGACATCAAGACACATTTTGCCCCACAACTTTTGTAATTTCAATCCAATCACAACGTAATTAGGCTTAAATTGAAGCCAATTCAATCCTCTACAAAGTAAACTTTAATTTTTATCAAAATGTAACTGTCAAAACCTCTAAAATCTTAAATTTGTTTCAGCTTAAAACGCCAATATCCACCTCTATCTCTACTCAATCTACAAAAATTCATCGACCTCAACAGAATCGACGCTTCAAAACCTATCGATCTAGTATCGATAGTAAACACGGGCCTTTTCAACATTTCCATTGACCAAAAACATTTTGGAATCAACTTAACAGACGAAGGGGCCGATATTTTTGAAGCCAAACTAAACATTGAAGTCCAATGGGCCAGCGAACTTGTAATCGCGGCCGTTGAACGTGCCGGAGGCACCATTACCACGGCCTACTATGATCCAGACAGTCTAAGAGCCATGGTCAATACAAAAAAGTTTTTCGAAAGAGGCACCCCTATTCCAAAACGCATGATGCCCCCTCCTGATGCTATAGAATATTACACAAGTGCCTCATGTCGTGGGTATTTGGCTGATCCCGAAAAAATTTCAGAAGAACGGTTGGTTTTGGCTCAGAAATATGGTTATCAGTTGCCCAAAATTGAGGAGAGTTCTGAGTATGAAATGTTGGCGCAAAGGAAAGATCCTAGACAAATATTTTACGGGTTAAATCCAGGTTGGGTTGTTAATCTACGGGACAAAGTTGTATTAAAACCCAAAGATGAAGAACTGTTGGAATATTATGCTTCTTAGTAGATTTTAAGTTGTTGTAGATAAAATATTTAACAAAAATATACATTATTATTATTTCAAAAGGTTATCAACAGCAATTATTAATAATTCCGATTACTTTATCATCTTGCAAATATAGTTTACATAAATACACCTCAGAGACACACAAGAATTCCTCCTTTTTGTCGAAAACAAAAAAAAAAATCAAATAAATATTATTATTATTATTACTATAGTATGAAGTAAATAGTTTAAAAATGGTTCCGTTTCTGCGTAAATCGTGTTCAGTATCGGTTTGTGAAGGTTCCGACCGGATAATCGAGGAAAATGTCGCGTAAAGTGGAAAAATCAATTATGCCAGAAGGGGAATACGGTTCGGAAAATCATTTGGTGACGTCAACGAATAATATGGTAAGTGATTTGTTTGTTTTTGTGAATAAATATGAATTATTTAGCTTGAAAGGTAGTTTTTCTTAATTATAGTTGAATGAAAATCATCAACGATAAATAATGTTGACTACGCCAATGTATGTCAGGCTCCACCCCCTACGACCAACCCTATGTCTTAAAATTCAAAAAGGGTGGAACTTTCATTTTGGTTTAAATGCGTTAGACAAAGATAAATATTCTGCTTTGTTTATGTTTCATAAAAGTGTCTTTATTATTTAGAATACGTTAGAAAGAGATAGAAATGTTTCAAATGGAATGTTCAATTAAGAAAGTATTCAAGTGTTTTTGAGAAAAATATGTTTGGGTTAAGAATTTGCCACTGATATGAGGGAGGCAATTTTACATAGCTTTGAAACTTTGGGTTAAATGACAGTGAATTTCCACGATCTTGATAGATTTAATGATGCACGACACTGGTTTTTAAGCTCCTCCACCATTACTGATCATCAAAGTAGGCGTAAGTTGAAATTAGGCTCCATTACATACTGCCACTGTGTCAAGAAATGAACTATAAACTACACGTAGGTACTAGGTGTTTGTTTATAACTGGAACACTCAGTAACTTTCTTATATTATTGAAAATGAAGGGCATGTTCAAGCTGGGAAATTTCTTGGTAAATTGCAACCTTAAGCGCTACAACGATATTTTTTTGTCGTCATAGGTTTACAGGGTGCGCCAAAAAGATATTATTTTTAAATGGAATGCCCTGTATATTTTTGTTATCCAAATAATATTTGATATGTTTGTGAAGCCAAGTTTCTAAGAATTTCAAAAATGCAAAAATATACAGGGCGTTCCATTTGAAAAAATTACTTTTTTGGCGCACCCTGTATACATATGGCTACAAAAAAATCTCATTGTAGCGATTAAAATCATTGCAATTTACCAAGAAATTTTCCAATTTAAACGTGCCCTCTATTCTCAATAAGTAATAAAAAAGTTATTGTTCCAGTTATAAACAAACATCCTGTACATGGAATTGTCGCGATTTGGGCAAATTGAGATAAGGAATATGACGGATAACTATCTCTATTTATCTTATTGTCGAACTATAATAATCTTTCCTTGTCTAACAAATATTATATTTGAGGTTAGGGAAAATGCCATATCTGACAACGATCAGATGCTTTCCAGTTACATGTAGTATATAGTTCATTGATGTCAAACTTCAAAGTGGGCGGAGCCAAAAAACCATAGGCGTCCGTTATAAAAATTATTCTCTCTATCTATCCATCTATAGGTATCTATCAAAATTGTAATTAAATTAAAAAAAAAAAATTGATTACACCAATGGGTATCAGGCTTCACCCCCCTCCACCAACCCTCTGTCTTAAAATTCAAAGGAGATGGATCTTCCAATGAAAAGTGACAGTAGTATTGTAACAACAAGCTATAAAATGACAGAAAGCCTGGAATAATTAAAAATTGCCTCTCTCTCTATTTCATATTTAAGGTAGAATAGAAAAAGACAAAATCTCTTAAAATTGTGTCAAATCTATCAAAATTGTAATTGAATGTAAAACAAAAACGGAATGGTGTATAAATGATTTTAACTACACCAATGGGTATCAGGCTCCACCCCCCTCGACCAACCCTCTATTTTAAAACTGAAAGGAGATGGATCTTCCAATGAAAAGTGACAGTAGTATTGTAACAACAAGCTATAAAATGACTGAAAGCCTGGAATAATTGAAAATTGCCTCTCTCTCTATTCCATATTTAGGGTAAAATAGAAAAAGACAAAATCTCTAAAAATTGTGTCGAATCTATCAAAACTGTAATTAAATGTAGAACAAAAACCGGAATGCTGTATAAATGGTTTTCACTACACCAATTAGGCTCCACCCTCCTAGCTCGACCAACCCTCCATTTTAAAATTAAAAGGAGATGGATCTTCCAATGAAAAGTGACAGTAGTATTATAACAACAAGTTATAAAATGACAGAAAGCCTGGAATCACTGAAAATTGCCTCTCTCTCTATTCCATATTTAAGGAAGAATAGAAAAAGACAAAATCTCTAAAAATTGTGTCAAATCTATCAAAATTGTAATTAAATGTAAAAAAAACCGAAATGCTGTGTAAATGATTTTCACTACACCAATGGGTATGAGGCTCCACCCCCTCGACCAACCCTCTATTTTAAAACTCAAAAAACATGGATCTTTCAATGAAAAGTGACAGTAGTATTGTAACAACAAGCTATAAAATGACAGAAAGCCTGGAATCATTGAAAATTGCCTCTATCTCTCTATTCCATATTGAGAAAGTATTTTTTTCTTTTTTTAACAATTTGCTTCAAAATTTAAAAGGAGGTGGAGCTTTCGTTTTGGTTTAAATGTGTTAGACAAAGATGAATTTATTCTCCTATTTTGTCTGTTTCACATTTAGACACAATTTTTAGAGATTATTTGTCTCTTTCTATCTTAAATATGGAATGGAACAGAAAGAGAAAGACAATTTTTAATTATTCCAGGCTTTCTGTCATTTTATAGCTTGTCATCGTTACAATTTATAAACTTGAAATCAAACGGAAAATAGTTCTAATAAGGATAATTAAAAATGATCTCTCTTTATTTATTCCATATAGAGAACACTGTAAGATAAAAAGAGACAAAATGAGTATTGACAACACTTGATTGTTCATCAGCAAATTCAAATCCTGCTATTTCCTATGTTTTTTTTCTCATGATTCCTTATTGAAATATTATTTCATTTTCCATATATTAACAATAATTTCTATAAGGGACGCCTATGAATTATAGGCTCCTCCCATTTTCAAGCTTAACACACTGGCAATATCATATGGAAGGAGGAGCTTAGCGTTGACGATTAATAAAGGAGGAGGAGCTTAAAAACCAGTGTCGTGCATCATTTTAAATCTATCAAAAATCGTTGATACCTACTGTCATTGAACCCAAAGTTTCGAATCATAGAAAGTTGCGTCAAATTATGGTAAATTAGTAAGAAAATATTATACTTTCCTAATTGAAAATATGCTTGACAGATATGCCGTTTAAAGCATTTGTATCTCTTTCTAACGCATTCGAAACAATAATAACATCCTATAGTCTGGCAAGTTGAAACTTAATAGTGACGAAAGAGGGAAGAAAAGTAGGGCTCTCTATAGTTTAACCAATCATGAATAATCCCGCCTCTCCATGCAATGTTGCCAGATTTTTTTCTATTTCAAAATAGACATTGATATTGTTGTGAATCAAACAAAACAGGAGAATAGAATCATTTTTGTTTTAACACATTTAAACTAAAACAAACGCTCCACCCTGTTTGAATTTCAAGACAAAGGGTTGATCGTAAGGGGTGGAGCCTGATACACATTGACATAGTCAACATTATTTTTATCAAAAATTCAAAACAAATTGTTGAAGTTTGATTAATCATATAAATTTCAATGACGTGACTAGAAAACTATTTGATGCATATATAATTTCGTTTCTATCTTTTTTCATTGAATGTCAATTTTGACAGATCGATTAAAACAATTATTATAAATCATGTTTCTCTTTCTATTCCATATACATATGTGGTAAACAGAGAGGCAATTTTTAATTATTTTTGGCGCCATTTTATTATAGTTTTTTGTGACAATTTAATAATTTGAAATCAAACAAAGAGACAAAACGGTTGAAAACTCCTATGAACAAACAATAATTTTTATTTTCGTATCTAATCGTCAAGGGACGCCTATGGATTATAGGCTCCGCCCGCTTTGCTCAACACAATGACGATATGAAATGATGAGAGGACCTTAATTTCAAGCTAGGCTTAGTTTGATGTTTCTAGTAATGGAAAATGGAGGAGGAACTCAAAAAACAGTGCCGTGCATCCAGTGCGAAAAATCATCAAATCTGTCAAAATCGTGATGAATTTGTAATTTGAATAAAAAAATAATTCTAATAAGAATAATCTGGAATGGTTTTCCTCCATTTAAACGAGAGAGACGAAACGATTATTAGGAACACGCTATTTCTTGTTCCCTAATTCGTCATTTCCGCAATTTGCCATAAACGAACAAAACATATATTCGTTAACGGACGCCCATGGATTATAATTCTGATAAGGATAATCAAAAACGGTCTTTGTCCATTTATTCAATATAACACTGTAAGATAGAAAGAGACGAAACGGTAGAAAAGTCCTATGAACGAACAATAATTTTTATCTTCGTCTATGAATTATTAGGCTCCGCCCACTTTGGATCTCAACACAGTAACAATATGGAATAGGAGGAGCTTAAAATACAGTGTCGTGCATCCATTGCAAAAAAGCATTAAATTTAAATCAAAATCGCGTAATTTGAATGAAAAAATAAGTCCTATAAGAATAACCAAAAATGGTTTATCTCCATTTATTCCATAGTAAGATAGAAAGAGACGAAACGAGTATTACGAATCAATATTTCTTGTCCTTTTTTCATAATTCCTCAAATGAAGCATTTTTTTTTTAACTGCAGACTGTCTTCATTTTCCATAAACGCACAAAATCTATTTCTTTCATATCCAATTGTTGATGGACGCCTATGGATTATAGGCTCCGCCCACTTTGAAACTCAGCACAGTGGCAACATGGAATGGAAGGAGGAGGCGTATTTTGAGCCACGTCCACTTTGATCATTATATTATATTGGAGGAGGATCCATTACGAAAAATCATTGAATCTGTCAAAATCGTAAATACTGTCATTATTTTGTCATTGAACATCTAAAGTTTCAAACCATAGAAAAACTGGAAAAATTTCCTTATGGTTGGGAAGAAAATACCAAATATTTCTCTCTCTTTCAGAAACACATTGAACATGTTTGGCAGATATGAAAATATTTCTATCTCTTTCTAACGCATTCTAAATAATACCGACTCTGTCAAAACCTACTCTGATATTTTTGTAATTAAATAAACATAACAGGAGAATATAGTCATCTTTGTCCAACACATTTAAACTAAAACAAAAGTTTCACCCCCTTCGAATTTCAAGACAGAGGGTTGGTCGAGAGGGGTGGAGCCTGATATCCATTGGTGTAGTCAAAAATCTTTATATACCATTCCATTTTTTTTACATTCAATTATAATTTTGATAGATTCGACACAATTTTTTTGAGATTATATTTGTCTCTTTCTATCTTTAATATAGAATGAACAGAGAGAGAGAGAGGCAATTTTTAATTATTCCAGGCTTTCTGTCATTTTATAGCTTGTCATTACAATACTACTGTCACTTTTCATTGGAAGATCCATCTCCTTTCAGTTTTAAAATAGAGGGATGGAAGGGGGGTGGAGCCTGATACCCATTGGTGTAGTGAAAACCACACACAGCTTTCCGGTTTTTTTTTCCATTCAATTACAATTTTGATAGATTCGACACAATTTTTAGAGATTTTGTCTTTTTCTATTCTACCTTAAAATGTTGAATAGAGAGAGAGGCAATTTTCAATTATTCCAGGCTTTCGGTCATTTTATAGCTTGTTGTTACAATATTACTATCACTTTTCATTGGAAGATCCATCTCCTTTCAGTTTTAAAATAGAGGGTTGGTCGAGGGGGTGGAGCCTGATACCCATTGGTGTAGAGAAAATCATTTATACAGCTTTCCGGTTTTTTTTATAGTCAATTATAATTTTGATAGATTCAACACAATTTTTAGAGATTTTGTCTTTTTCTATTCTATCTTAAATATGGAATAGAGAGAGAGAGGCAATTTTAAATTATTCCAGGCTTTCTGTCATTTTATAGCTTGTTGTTACAATACTACTGTCACTTCATTGGAAGCTCCATCTCCTTTCAGATTTAAAATAGAGGGTTGGTCGAGGGGGGTGGAGCCTGATACCCATTGGTGTAGTGAAAATAATTTATACAGCATTCCTGTTTTTTTTTACATTCAATTACAATTTTGATACATTCGACAAATTTTCTAGAGATTTTATCTTTTTCTATTCTACCTTAAATATGGAATAGAGAGAGAGGTAATTTTCCAGGCTTTTCGTTATTTTATAGTTTGTTGTTACAATACTACTGTCACTTGTCATTGAAAGTTCCACCTCCTTTGAATTTTAAGACATTGGGTTGGTCGAGGGGGGTGGAGCGGGATATCCATTGGTGTAGTCAAAATCATTTAACAGCATTTTGTTTTTTTCTACATTTAATTACAATTTTGATAGACAAACAAAAAAGACAATAAGGATAATTAAAAATGGTTCCTCTTCATGTATTCAACTAGAAGATAAAAAGAGACAGAATCATGGGTATTGGCAAATGGCAGCACTGGATTTTTCATCAGCCAATTCTTGTTTTTCCCCCTCATTTTTCCTTATTGAAACATTGATTAAAACATGACACCTATGGATTTTAGGCTCCGCCCACTGACCCACTCTGAAAAAGGTGGTAAAGATTTTGTTTTGGTTCAAATGAGTTGGACAAAGATGAGTATATTTTTCTGTTTTGTTTGTTTCACAAAAATATCAGAGTAGTTTTTGACGGTGTCTTTATTATTTCAAATGAGTTAAAAAGAGATAATAATAAGACTGTTCGTGCAAAAATCCCAAACCAGTTAGAGTAAATTCCATTGGTTGGAACTATGTAGTTTTCTAACTATTTTCAACCAATGAAATTCGCTCCGCCTGGTTTGTGATTTCTGCACGAACAGACCTAATGCCATAATGTTCTTATCAATTTTTCAACTATATGAGGCAATTTTTTGTTGGTTTAATATAAATCAATAATTCTCAATGATAAATGACAAAATCCAAAATTTCATGATTCTTCGCACGACACTGTGTTTTAGGCTCCTCCTCCAATACTAACCATCAAAGTAGGCGGAGTCTATAATCCATGGGCGTCCGGTAATGATTATTTAGCTAATTTATTTATTTCTTTTAAGGGCGAAGACATAATAGAAATCGAAGAATCCTTCGACCCGCACAGCATCACAGGCATCCTCAACGTTTGCAAACAGAAACTTCTGAAACCTTACATGCGATTTCTGAGCCTTATGGGTCTGAGACCCATTATCGACGACACCAACTTGCGTTTTATGGGCAAAACTTTGAACTTATTTTACAATTTACAAGTAAGAATTTTGAAATTATGTTGGACACGCCCCCAAAAACAGTGTCACAACAAATAACGTCACACACAACCTCACATTCGACTTTCGATGAGGGGGAGACAAACAAAACGTTTGAAGGTTACACCTTACGTCAAAAATCATATAACGTCACTTTCGATAGGGGGACAAAAATGTCACTGTGAGGTTATGTGTGTGACGTCAGCTAGTGTACAAAAATTCATTTCTAGGTTATTTTATTTCTGGTAACCGGCTATCTATTGCAATACATGTCATGTTTCCGTCGAGATAGAGGCTTTGGCAGTATGAACTCGAACCTAACAGCCTCTAAACTTCAAATGGAGGCTCTATACGAGAAAACTTGCAGCGCCTCTATGGCCTCGTGCTTCATTATTCCAAGTTTACTACACTTTACTGGTTACCTCTATGCTTTAATAATCTTCAGACGCAACGACGATGATCAGCTACCAGTACTAATTGAAAGAGTGTTTTTAATATCCAGTCATGTGCCAAATATGCAAGTGAATCAACGTCACATTGTAAAAACCTTATGGGTTTTCATGATTAGTAGCTTCATTTGGATGATTGCTTCAATGGCGCTGGTCAATTACATGATGGCGGAAGAAGATATTAGTTTTAGGTGGCTGGAAAATGGACCGTATTGGGCCCAATTTAGCCTCAAAATATTGCTGGTGGTTTGCATTTTATGGCACGACATTGTCCAGGCCAGCGTGATATCGAATTATTGTTTGCAAGTGCAACTATTGAGGACTTATGTGCAATTTATAAGGGAGAAATTGTTGCAGACGTCTATTAGACCATTGGAATGGATTAGGGTAAGAAAATTGTTAGTGCACGACACTGTTTTTCGAGCTTTAAGTAGGCGGGGCTTATAATCCATGGGCGTGCGATTTTTTTTTTAGGATGTAGAAGAATTCCGCAAGTTGTTGGTGTATTTGAATGAAGAAGTGGCACCAGCTGTTTGTATTTTAGGCTTGGTAAATTGGGTTTACGCTGTTTCGGGTACAGTGTGGCTATTGGCTGTACGAGACGACAGCGTGCCACTTTACACGGCTGCCAACCTATTGAATTTTTTTCTCTGGTGGTTCATTGCCGCCGTTCCTTTTGTACAGGTAAGAATTTTCTCAATATCAAAAATTGAAGTTCATGATTTAAGAACGACACTGTTTCTTAAGCTCCTCCTCCTCCAATCATCTAAGTGGGCGTAGCTTGAAACTAAGCTCCTCCTTATATTCCATATTGCCAGTGTATTAAGCTTTAATGTAGGCGGAGCTTATGATCCATAGGCGTCCAATAAATTGCATTTTTTTTTCTCAGGCAGCTCGATTAACGATGGCTTGTGAAAACGTGAAAACGGCAGGCCAAGAAGTCCGCACCCGCCCTTATGCCCATCAAGACACTCCAGTGCAAGAGCTCAACTCAATATTACTTTACACAATTAGTTTGAAAATGTACGCCAAACTTTACAACTTACCAATACGCGGACGACAAATTGGTATAATTTTCGCCATTTTGTGTGTGGTTTTTTTGGTTTTGGCTCAAAACTATCGAATATCAACTTCACCATAGAAATCAAACAAATATTTCCTAAACAAAACAGCCATTATAATATTTTACTAAAAAAGTCTGTTCACACAGGAGTTTTTGACAGTTCGCAAGCTGTCAGTAATGTACATGTTTTCAATGCTTGTTCTTGACAGTTTGCAAACTCTTGTGTGAACAGACCTTAAAATAACTCACAAATTGATGGTGAAAATAAATTTAAATCTATATCGCTTATAAGCGCGTATATGAATCATTCTACTAGCAACAAAAAAAGTTACAATATAAATAAAAACATTTTATAAAAAATCATTGAATGGTTGTTTGTTTTTTTATGACCGTTGCTTTGCTCTGAGTAGTTGTTTGCAGCTGAACGAAGACACGCCCACTCCTAGGCTGGCCAATAGGAAAGCTGCGGGCAAGACGCGCCTGTCCGGATTAGTACGTCCTACTTGGGCATTCTGGAATAAGAAATTTATATTGGTTACTTGGTATTCACCCTGTCTTAAATTTAATTCAAAATACCTAGCAAATTTTTGAAATAAACATTTTTAATTTACATAATATACGGAGATTTTCAGGTAGCATTCAGTTACGTTAACAGTACTTGATTGTCTCTCTCCAATCGCCCTATTTCATGTCTTTGTTTCTGAAAAATTATGTGAACTACGCCAATGTGTTTCAAGCTCCGCCCCATGGTACATTTACCAATTCGCCATAATAATTTTCAAAGTGGGTGGAGCCTAAATAACATTGGCGTGGATTTTTTATTCCAATTGTTTGAAATTTGTACAAATTTAACATTTCAAAGTCAAAGGATACTTTTAACTTTCACCCAGTATTTTCATGTGTAAATATAACTTTGGAAACCCATACTGTATTGTTTTCTTAATTGCTTTGAATTTTTAAGACATTTATTTCTTCTCTTTGTCTATTCTAGTTCCTCTCTTCTTTGCTTTGGTAGAAAAATTCGATATTTGTTGCAACCACTGAATGTAGTTCTTCCCCAGAAGAGTATTCAAATTTAACTTTGACTCGATACAAAAAAAATTCAACCTTATTTCTAATCCACGTCAATGTATTTTAGGCTCCACCCCATGACACACCCACTAAGTAGGTAAATTGTCAACGTGGCTGGAGCATGAAAGACATTGGCGTCGATTTTTTTGATTTACATGACAACATTTTGCATTGATTTATCAAATTAGTGACGTAATGTGCCATCTCCTGGACTAAAATTGATGACGTAATGGTATAGGTTAGACAGTATTGAATTCTGAGGGGCTTTTTCCAATTTTTCAATGATTCGCTGTTTTGTAATGTTGATTTTCAAAAGTAATAAAGACTTGATTTTTTTTCTCGAACTACGCCAATGTGCTTTAGACTCCGCCCTGTGACATATTAACCAATCCGCCATGAAAATTTTGAAAGTGGGTGGAGCCCGAAAGACAATGGCGTGGATTTTTTTGTCTTAATAATTCATCAAACTGCCATTTCTTGGAGTTCTTGTTGCTGTTTCTTTGTTAATTTTTTGCCAGTTTTCCAATGAGTTTGGGTTAGTTTTTGGTTATATTTTAATTAGAGTTAGCTGACCCGGCGAACTTCTTACTACCTCTGAATTTTTAAATACCTATTAAATGTTGGGTTAAGTTGGGTTGAGTTGGGTTAAGTTGAGTTAGGTTGGGTTAAGTTGGGTTGAGTAAGTTGGGTTAAGTTGGGAAGTTGGGTAAAGTTGGGTTAAGTTGGGTTAAGTTGAGTTAAGTAAGTTGGGTTAAGTTGGATTAAGTTGGGTCAAGTTGGGTTAAGTTGGGTTAAGTAAGTTGAGTTAAGTTGGGTTAAGTAAGTTGGGTTAAGTTGGGTTAAGTAAGTTGGGTTAAGTTGGGTTAAGTAAGTTGGGTTAAGTTGGGTTGAGTAAGTTGGGTTAAGTTGGGTTAAGTAAGTTGGGTTAAGTAAGTTGGGTTAAGTTGGGTTAAGTAAGTTGGGGTAAGTTGGGTTAAGTTGGGTTAAGTAAGTTGGGTTAAGTTGGGGTAAGTAAGTTGGGTTAAGTAAGTTGGGTTAAGTTGGGTTAAGTAAGTTGGGTTAAGTTGGGTTAAGTTGTTTTTTTGATGGTGAATTTGGCTTTGGTTGAAGAAAATTAATATTTACTTTCTGGATCAGAAGTCACCTAAAATTAAAATTTTACATCATCCCTTTTTAGGCAGCTTGTGGGCATTATTCTTGTAAAGTGTACCACCAAATAAATAAACTCAGACAGAGGAATGTTCAAAGAATGTAAAGAAAACAAAAAAAATCTTCAGCGCAGTTCTGTTTCACTCTATCTGAACTACTCCATCTGTTCTACTCTATCTGCACTATTCTATCTAATCTACTCTTTCTGCACCACTCTATCTGATCGGAATAGTGGAATAGCTCTGTTTAAAATAGCTCCAGTTGCTGAGCAGCATTGTTCTACTGTATCTGCAATAAAATTACCACGCAACGGCGAGTTTTTTTCAATTCAAAATCTTACAAAACGTCACTTTACAGTGTACAGCGGGCTGATAAATGACCAATAGCAACGAACCTTTTTAAAGATTTTGTTATTTGTCACTCCGTAGATTGGTTGGATTTAGATCTATTAATCGGAAACGCCATAAGTAGCAACACAACAACATCTGTGTCACTGTCATTTGACAGAACCAGAACTTGACGTGGACCATCCCAGTCAACATGTGGCACAATACGAAGGTCAGCTTCCCCTAGGGTTTCCATACGTCATGATTTTTCTGGACATGTTTGGGTTTTTAGAGTGTCCGGAAAACTCGGAAATCGTGAAAACATTCATTCTCACTCAGTTTACACACTATTTAAAAGACGTAAAGTTCTACTTTACGCATTAGTACATAAAATAATTCACTTTGTTCTAGTGCGTGAACGCGAAGTAATGTCAATGACAAATGTCGACACTGTCATTTTTTTCTAGTAAATTACTTCACTTTACGCATTAGTGCGTGAAGTATTTGTCTGAATTTATTTTTTTACACATATTTTATTGGTAGTAGAAATTTTTTTGTATATGCAATAATACGCGTGTAAATTGGAAGGAGAATATAAATCGCCGCCATATTGGTGTGTTATCATTTCTCAAGGATAATACACACTACTACTACTACAGGATGATCTATTCTTATAAGGCCTCTGTGTAACAAAACCCCCACTTTTCCTTTTGCCAAATTACCAGTTGTGACGTAGGCAGCATGTTATTTCTCGCCATAACGTAGGCTGTTCAAACAGCTGACGACTTAGTTATGACGTCAGAAATGTTGCGCTTCCTAAAATTAACCAAAATCATCCGGCTTTAAAAAAAAAAGGCGCAAAAAATGGTTGGTTTTCATTTATCTTCGTTCTTTTTCAACCAATAATGTCAAAAAGAGAAAGATGACAAAAATTTCAACAAGTTGGCCATGCATTTACAACAACTACTGTCAAAAGTCAGGTGCTTTCTAGAATCATTTTGTTGGCTATTGTTTTTTATTTGATGACAGATGGACTTTCTGGCAAATTCAACAATTTATAAAAATGTTGTTGAAATTTACCATTGGAAAATTGAAATTCCAATGAACAAATTTGTTTTTTTTTCTATCAAATAGCGACAGTGTTGTTGTCGTTACCAGGTAAAAAAAACTTCTATGCAAGCTGCAAGTACCTACCAATGACGTACCTACCTACTGCATAAAAGTTGAAAATTGGCAACGTTGAATTACAAACAGTGTTGACGATTCAGTTGGCAACACTGTTGCATTAATAACTGCCAACATTTTCTTATTCCAGATTAAAAACCATATTTTTAAATGTTTGACAATACTGCAAATAAGAGAAGTTTGACACTAGGAGGTCGATTCCAGAAACAAGGGAGCAGCGTTCCTATGAGAAGAAATTTTCTGTCTTTGTCACTCATATCAAATTTTGCATGGCACTTGTTCATAAGAATTCTGCTCCCTCGATTCGATAATCAGGCATTCAGAGGCGTTTTCTCGCGGGGTGAATGTTTCAAACTACGGTTTAAACCAATTCGTAAATGACGTCATCACTTATGACGCGAGAAAATGGAAGGTTTGAACCATAGTCTTATGTCAACAGAAAACAAGCCATAAGTCCGGTTCGAACTTTTTTGAACCAGGTTCAATATTTGACGTCACTGGTTCAACGCAAGAATGTACAGGTTCGCACCTAATTGAACCAGATCGAGCTAGTTCCACCGCGAGAAAACAGCTCAGGGTCCTTATTCTTGAAAGAGGGGAGTAGCATTCCCAGGAGAACGAGTGTTCCGTCTTTGTTACTTATATTATCATTTGCATATCATTGAGAAAGACGGAACACTCGTTCTCCTGGGAACATTGCTTCCCTGTTTCAAGAATAAGGACCCAGGCGTCATATCGATGGCTGAAGGAAATTGAAAAATTCCCGTTTGAATTTAATTTAAATGATTTGAAGATGAAAAAAAGTGTTTCTTATTACAGTAGGTAAAATCATAATGAAGTTGCAACGTGCTTCTTGCTTTCTAGTCCACCTACGGAAGCGGAAAAAAAGGAAAAAAATAACATAAATAAGCAAGGTTATGAGCAGAAAATGTCAAAAAAAACAATAAAAATGAGCTGGCAACGTTGCATAAGTAATACCAACCTTCGAAAAACCCAAGAGTTTATCAGCTCCTGCCCTTTGTTAAAAATGCACCATTCGACTTAGGGCGGATATTATAAAACTGCTTTGACAGTTAACTTGAAGTTAACTTTTTGAATTACATGTAATTTCAGAAGTTAACTTTAAGTTAACTTTCAAAGAAGTTTTATAAAACCCGCCCTTAACTAGGTAATTAACCTAGAGTTAGAGTTAATCCAGGGTCAGCAAATTTTACCAGTTATCTCTTGATTGATAAACCGGCCCTAAGTGACGCAAACTTTAGGCGTTTTCTCGCGTCCATTTTTTTGAAACTGGTTCAAAAATGTTTCGAAACAGTACATTCTCGCGATTAATCCATGACATCTTGACGTCACGTCAAAATTGGTTCAAACTGTTTCGAAGTACAATCCAATCCACGTTTTCAAACCATTCTCGCGCGCCGAGAAGTTATGACGTCATTGTGACATTACTTGAACCAGTTTTGAAACATTTGAGACGCGAGAAAACGCCTTTTGATTATTACCGTCACTTGAGAGGTCAATGAGCTTGGAATGATAACGAACACAGCCTCAACGAAACAGCAATATAAGAAATTCAATAGAGAAGAAAGAGACAGAAATAAAGTGGGATAAATTAAATAATGACCTAAATTTTGATTATTCCCAGCTTGAAATAATGGAGAGACAGCATTATAAGAAATTCAATAAATAAAAAAGAAACAGAAATGAAGTACGATTAGAAAAAATGTGACACGAATATCAATTATTCCCAGGGTTTGAGTGAGCTTGTATGAAATTTTTGTGTTTAACCAATAAAAAGCCTAGAATAGATAAGTAGGACAAAGAAAACAACATAAGAAACTCAACAATTTTTAAGAAGAAAACAGAGATACCCGGTATGGCAACACTGTTTATGACACAATGAACGTCAAAATTGACGAAAGTACCTTGTTTTCCTTGACAGGCGTTTTTTTGTTACCCTGTGCGCTTCAGATTGAAAACACTCTCGCCCTTCGGGCTCGTAATTAAAAAAAAAAAAAACGCCATTTCGACCCAAGAATGATACACACTACTACTACAGGATGGCCTATCCTCATAAGGCCTGTTTGTGATAAATCTCCCTCTTGCCAAATTTCTAGTTGTGACGTAGGCAGCATGTTATTTCTCGCCTTGACGTAGGCTGTTCAAACAGCTGACGACTTTGTTATGACGTCGATAATGGTAGCACACTAATATGACGGCGATTACCAAAAGCGAGACCGATAAACACCAAGAAGAATACACACTCTAAGGAGTGCTTATCAGCCTGTTTTTTGGTAATCGCCGCCATATTGGTTTTCAACCATTGCCGACGTCATAACTTAATCGTCAGCTGTTTAAACAGCCTACGTCAAGGCGAGAAACGCCATGCTGCTTACGTCACAACTGGTTGTTTGGCGTGGGAGGGTAGGGGGGGATTTGTTACATACAGGCCTTATGAGGATAGGTCATCCTTTAGTAGTAGTGTGTATCATCTTTGCCCATTCTGGACGTTTAGGTTTAATATTGGCATTGTCATGTTTGGAATCTACAAAAACAAAGGATCACACGCTTTTCTTATGAACGTCACCACAACATTTGACCTAGACGGCCATATTGAATTGCGTGATCAGGGCTGGGATCACGACAAGTAGAATTCTACTAGAATCCAATTTTCGTGACGTTAAGTTGCCTAAAAACCGTCACGCGATAAATAGACCGCAGGTGACGTCATGAAAATAGAATTCCACTTGTCATGATTCCAGCCCTGAATTGCCTTATTTCCAAATGTCAAAGTGAAAAGAACGCATGCGTTAATTTTGAAACGTGGATTCCGAAACAGTTTGAACCAATGACATCATATTACATTTCACTAGTGAAACGTCATTGGTTCATTAGTGAAATGTCATTGGTTTGAACCAATTTTGATGTGATGTCATAGGTTCATAGCTGGTTCAAATTTGTTTTTACTATAACAGTTTCAGAAAAATAACAGCTCTGGGGTGGATGCATGGCCAATTTGATGGAAGATTTTCCCCATTATTATGTCTGCCTCTTTCCAATTTCTTTAATTAAAAAAGGACCAAAAAAGACAAACAGAAAACGTGACAACTATACGGTTTGTTCCTTTTTTAATTATAATAAATACGGCTTGATGGATTTGAGCAAGCGCCTAATTTTTTGACAGTTGGAAATGTAAGGTCAACTTAATAAATAAAAAGTCTCTCTGTCTGTGTGAACAACTACTGTCAATATGAAAGATATTATCAATTTTTGTCTATTCTCGGCTCTTGAATTCATTTGCCAACTATTGTCATTCTTGGCAACTAAGAATGGTTCCGACAGAAATAGACAGGAAATGACATGATTTTTTGTTGTTGCCACGGTATAATCTGGTTAATATTGACAAATGCCTATGTTTTGACATCTGATGGAATACGTACATGGCCTATTTGATGAAAAAATTGTGCCAGAAAGTTTATCTGTCTTTTTTCAATGTTATTGATAAGAAAAGGAAGAAGAAAATGAACAAAAAAATACCAGTTGCTTGTGCCTTTTCGAAGTGAAAACTTTTTTATAGGCGCCTTCCGTTTAACACAAAAATTTTACTGAGATTGAGTCGTCATCACGCTCGAATTGTTGTTAACGTTCATTAGAAATTTCAATTACATACTTGTAAAAGGTTGTTTGGTAATAGTAAACAGATAACGTCATCAAGTGGTTCTTATGTAGATTTGCATAATATTTAGGCATACAGATGACGTCATAAAAATTATCAGATTACAACCTACTTCAAATCAAAAATACTATGATTCAATATGGCGGCAATGGTTAAGTATTTGTGATATTAGTTTATTTAATTTACGTTTTAAATCGTTTTGGGTTTTTGAGAATGCCCGATTCAATGGGGGTTTTTGGGAATGCCCGATACAATAGTGGTATTTTCAATGTTGCCAAGTTTACCGTTTCTAAGATGCCGTACGTAACTTAAGATGATTTCGCCACGTTTTGGTTGGTATGTAAATTGGTTAACCGCTAGGTAGGCTCTTCGTCACAACAGTGACGTCACATACTATTTTTAGCCAGAATCGGCCGGTTTGTCAAATGTCACGTGTATACCGTGATGGTGATAGTATGCCTGAGAAAATAAAAATAAACAAACTACTGAATACAAATTAGAGAGAAATAGCAAGCTACAAATTCAAATAACCGTGCTTCAAGCTCGGTACCCAATTTGACATATCAAAATAGATACCAAAGTTATCGTGACGTCATTGTTTTTCGTGTCAAAATTAAAACGTGGCGAAATCGTCTTTAATTTTTTTTTCTAAATGAAAGTCTTGACAACCTTGATTCAAATCGAAAATGTCAAGATTCAATATGGCGGCAATGGTCAAATATTTGTGATGTTTGTTTATGGTGGTATTTGCAATGCTGTGAGTAACTTAATTTTTTTTAATTGAAAGTCTGGGTAGGCCCAGGTAGGAAATATTGTTCATTTTTCTAAAGCCTGTTCTGAAATACGAGACTGTTTCCATAAGTACATAGCTGTGTTGCCATATTTCGAAAACCAAGTCAAATAATGGAGATTTCAGGGTTTCAGTAATGTTGCGACGAATAAGAATTAATTACAATAAAAATAAAGAGAGACTTCCATTGAAAAAGTTAAAGTTACATCCTGCATCTTAGAAACGTTGAACTTGGCAACATTTCAAATACCTCCATTGAATCGGGCATTCCCAGAAACCAGGAACTATATCCTGTTCACAATCCGATGTCCACAGGTGCAGGTAAATTTATCGCCTTTCCCCAAATAGCATTGAAAGGTGAATTTACCTGTACCTACCTGTGGACATTCGCATGAGAACGGATAATAGGTAGTATATTTTTCTTAAGCTCGTTCTGAAATATTAGACAGTCACAGGTGTTTCTATGTATAATGACAACCCTGTATATCGGTAGGATTTGGTAGATTTGCTTAGACCTGTTTCGTAAAAACGGTATGTCTTGGTGAATGTTAGGAAACGCCTTATATATGACAGTTGCCTGATTAAATCCATGGCCTACTTGATAACATATTTTACAAGAAAAGTCTATTTGTCTTTTTCTAATATTATTGATTGAAAAAGGACAACTATAAGTAAAACGAAATATTGACAAAATGGTTCGAATTCGAGAATAATTAAAACTTGAAATTTCAATAATTTCAGCCAACTCACATACCTTTGGAGTATCAGATTATAAAAGCCAAACTGTACTGTACTAAATTTATAAAAAGGAGCTAAAATTTGAATATCTTAACTATGAAAATAACCTCTGAAAACAACAAATAAAAAGGTACAATTGGCTTCTTTATGAGAAACACTCACCTATCAATCACTGCAACGTTGTTCACAAGAAATATTGCATAGGCACATATAAACTGTTCTCACTCTCAGGTGTACATAAGGATTCAGCAAGTTTCAACTAGATTACCAGTCGGTGGCTGCAATTCCTTTTTCTAGAAGGCTTGACAAGCAATTCTAGACCCTAAGAAGTCTGTTAACATATTATCATAATAATCCTAGACATTAAAGCTGTATGTCTTGGTTTTAAGTTTTTATAAGTAGGAATTTTTTAGATTTCCAATCAAGTTTTCATCATCATATTTGACAATTATTATGAAAAATTCAGAACTTGCACAAGGAGAACAATACAGTTTTTCTCAACCCTTGATTTTTTTAACAATTATTGTTTAATTATAAAAATAAGAAAATATTTCACCAATAATTATTTTGACTAATACCACAATTAAACAACTATTATCTATTCACAATCGGATGTCCAAAGATAAAGGTAAAATCTATCACCTAGCAGTGCTATTTGATACGGAGAAAGATAATAAATTTACCTTTACCTTTGGACTACGGATTGTGAATAGGATATACAATAATTTCAACATTAATAATATTGAATTATAGAACAATAAATAATCAGAAACTCTACTTTTAAACAAAAAAAAGTCCCTATTTCTTTTTGGACAACCATTGAGGCATCTTTTTCTTAGCAAACACTACATTTGCAGGTTGCTGGGCAGCATATTTTACTTCTTCTTTTGAAGGAGAATCAAACACTGCATTTTCTACAATATCCATTTTTGGCTCCATTTCAGCAGTTTGCTGGGCATCATATTTCACTTCTTCTTTTGGAGGAGAATCAAACACTGCATTTTCTACAATATCCATTTCTGGTTCCATTTCAACTTTAACAACATTTTCTTTTGGAGAAGAACCAAACACTACTTTATTCGTTTCAAATTCCGTCTTAACTTTTTTCATTTGAGGCTCATCGATATCCCCCAAAATTACTTGTTTCTCCTCTTTTTTTAGCTCCTTTTCAGCTTCATCACATAAGGCCATCAACATATCATCATCTTCATCAATTTCTTGAAAAACGAAATCTTCAAATTCAACATAAGGAATGTTAAGCTGCTTTAAGTGGCTTCTAACAGTCAAATAAGCACAAACTGCATTAATTTGGGGGTAAGTGATTTCTTCAGGGCAAGCTTCTTTGATTGGGGTAATTGTAGAAAAATCGCCCCCTAAGTTGTTGATTGTTTGTAGAATTGTTGTGCGTATTTCTGGGCTGACGCCCAATGAGGCTAATTTAATTGGATATCCATGTTTGATTAATTTTACTAGATGATTGATTATGGTACCTTCTTGTAGGTCTCTTCGATCTGCTATTTGTTCAATTGTATATTGTTTTTTGAAATATTCATAAGACATCAATAATGTTTCGCCTGTTTTTGTAACACCAGTTATTGGATGTTGTTGTAAAATCTCTTTTATAGTTGGATTTTCCTGTAAGTTTTGTATAATTTTTATTAATTTAGGGCCAAATTTAGTAATCCTTGCTTCAGTGAGGCCATTGATTTGCAACTTTTGCAATTCCTCTATTGTTTTAGGCTTGTGCCGAGCCATTTCCATTAAAATAAAGTCTGAAGCCACCATATAAGGCATTACATTGTTAGCTGAAGCCAATTGGCTGCGTTCGTTTTTGAGAAAACGTAAGATTTTCAATCTTGAATCGATTTCTTCTTGGGTTTCTGTTTCTTGTGTTTGGGTTTCAGATTTGGTGGTTGTAGATGTTAACGAGGCAGAAATCCAACCAGTTGATTGCTGTTTTTTCTTTAAATGTTTCAAAATGTCTTGTGTAGGTGGTTCAAGTAGTTGAGTTTGTTTGGCCAAAAACTGTTTGCCCAAATTACTGATTTGAAAAACTGTAAACGAAAATTTGCCTTTACTTGTTCGGATTTTTGCTAAATACTTTTTCATGTCTAAATAGTTGGCAATTGCCTTCCACCAGTCTTCGGATTTGTCACTACCTGAACCGTGACAAGGATGTTTTTGCAAGTGCGGGCGTATTTTTGAAGACTTTGAGCCTTTTAGAAACAAAATATACAGTCCGTGGCCGAATTTGTTTCCCACAGCTTCAATTGCCTTCAAATATTTTGTAGCATCTTCAGTAAAGTCATAATTGCCTTCAACATCAAGCCCTTCATATGATATTTGATTGGTTGAATTTTTACAAATATCGCAACAATCGGGCCTAAATTGCAAATCTGGAACCTTATTCTCGAAATACTGCAAAATAAACTTCCTCCTACATTTATTTGAATACAAATATTCCTTCATTCGCTCTAATAGTTGGCCTTGATGTGCTTCATTGCCTCCTTTACAAGCTAAAAATTCCCTGGTTATAAAATCGCTGCTAGAATAAAAAGTCACACACTTTGCAGGCAAACCATCTCTTCCAGCTCTTCCAATTTCCTGGTAGTAACTCTCCAATGAGCCACTTGTACCATAATGTATTACATATCTTATATCAGGTTTATCAATACCCATACCAAAGGCAATTGTTGCAACAATTACAGAAATTTTATCTTTAACAAATTGCTCATGTGCTTCTTGTCTAAGACTCAAACTTAAGCCTGCATGATAAGGCAAACAAGATATTTCGTTTAGTTGCAAAAGCTCACTTAACTTTTCAGTATCTTTACGTCTAATACAATAAATAATCGTTGGTCCATCAAACTTCCACTCTCCATCTTTTCTTACCATCAAAAACCTTAAATCACTCATAAAATCACTTGTTCTTTGTCTCACCTCCAAATACAAATTAGGCCTGTCAAAACCAGAACAAACCAATTGAGGATTTTTTAATTTCAACACATGTATAATATCATTAATGACTCGTTCTGTTGCAGTTGCAGTTACAGCCAATATAGGAACATCAACAAAAACATGTTTTAACATGCCCAACTTCCTAAACGATTGTCTGAAATCGTGCCCCCAAGAACTCACACAGTGAGCTTCGTCTATTGCAATCAAAACAACTTTGCAACGGTTTTTAATTTCATTCAGCAACCCCAAGCCTGATTCCCCGCAACAAAATTCTGGACTCAAATAAACTATTGAGTATTGATTATCTAGAATCTCTTGAATAGTTTTTGAGTTGCTTTTTTGTGCACTTCCTAGTAAACAGGCTGGAATGTTAGCTACAGTCAACGCCAACACTTGATCTTCCATCAACGAAATCAAAGGACTGACAACTATAGTCATCCCTTGCGAAAACACTGCAGGAAATTGATAGCACAACGATTTCCCATAACCAGTTGTCATTATAGCACAATTGTCTTGCTTCTTATTCAAAATAGAATCTATAATCTTCCATTGTAGAGGGCGGAATTGTTTGTGGCCGAATTTTTTGAATAAAACTTCCAATGATTTTGGGTCGGGATCGACATTGACTAGTTGAGTGTCTTCTTGGTCTAAGATTGAGTTTTCCATTTGCGAAAAGGCATCGTTTAGGAACTCGTCGTCCGAAGAGTCCATCTTTTTTTTTTTTTTAGTGGGTTTCTTCCTAAAAATAGAGCAGAGGTACTTCAGATTCAGGGGTTGTTGATGGTTAATGATAAATTTTGCTAATAAAAATTTATATTGTCACGAATTGTAATTTAAAACAAGGTATAGGAAGAATCTGCACTTCAATATTAATGTCTATGGATTACAGAGAGGAGTCTATTTTGACAGTTATAGTGCGCGAGTTAGAGTAGAGCTTAGAGAACAATGGCGTATTGTTGTCACCGAAACTATTATCAAAAAACTTCTTTTTCGTTGGTTGTTTGCTGTTCCACTTCATCTAAATTGTAAAAAGAATCTGAAGTGGAATTTTTTTTTTCCTTGTCTTACTCTATTTGTAGTAAATGATTTTGAGCTTTTACAAAATACCAATTTCAGTCTAAATGTTTATCTATTCCCGGCTCTTGAATTGTTTATTTCTAAATGTCTCTACATAAAGAAAATTCAAGAGCCTGTAATAGAAACAACATATAGATACTTAAGTTTACTTATCTACCCCATTTTCCCTTAATGTCTGTAGGTAATGCAATCTGATGGATAAAAATGCAATATGTAATTTCCAGTGACCAACCAGGATTATAAATCTGTAAATTTATCTTGCTGATAGTTACCAGCAAGTTTATCTCAAAATGAATAAACCGGGCCTAAGATAGAGAAGATTGGATGTTAGTGAATACAGTTTTAATACACAAAAACAAATCTGCAAAAAAGTCATCTGAGCCAAATCCATTCAAACTTTCAAAATGCTGAAGGATGTTTTCCAGTAAGTAGGTATACACTGGGTACTACCTACATAAAGAAATGATAATTCTTAATGATCATTCTTAAAAGGTTTTTTCAAAACAATCTCAAATTGGTGTTTTATGCATTTCAGCAATAGCTCAAGAAATGTATACCTGGGCCGCAAAAAATTTTGCGAGGGCAGGCTGATTTTTTCCAGGGCTGATTAGGGAGAGTATCCTGAGTATTGAGCCAAAAAATCACACTCGAAAGCCTTGTGCGTTCGGCCCTATTGGCCTTTTTCTTATTTATTTTTTTTCGACAAAATGACCTTCACAAAACTTGTAGATAATTACATTCTGATCAACTTTGCCTCATGACTTTTTTTGCTAGCTATTTTACTTTAGGCGCTGCGGCCATTTTAGTGCTTCAGAATTTGCAAAAAAATTAAATAGCAAACCTGCAGATTATTATACCTAATAAAATTCTCTATTACGTTGTTTGTTTATATTTTATTGTAACTTTATTTTTTCGCTTGTACAGCCTTTTAGGCATTTGAAAAATTTTATTTGACCTGGTGGACATTGTGGCATGACACATTTTGCAGGTAAAATGTGGCGTTTCGCGAAATTGAATTTCGCAGACGGTTGCACAATAGCAATTTGTGTATTAAGAGGGCAAAGTGGTACTTTGCCGATCGAAAGATATTGTTGATATTGACAAATGCACACTTGATTTTTTTTACAATCGCATGTGATAAAAAATATTTCAGGTTCAAAGAAACCAGCAGTATAAGCAAGCGCTTTTACTACTTTGCCGCTCTAGAGCGACAAAGTGAAGGATTTTGACTTAGTTTGACGCTCTAAAGTGGCAAAGTGGAGGTCATCAGGAAACATCTACTTTGCGAGCACAAATCTAATCGACAAAGTCTACTTTCTAGGCCGATTGTAGAAAAGAAAAACATTTTGTCACTTTTCAAACAGGTTCCAGGTCCCAGTATTGTCAAAAAAAAAAAAAACATTATGTTCGATTTCACGCTTTCACTCCGAGAAAATAATTTCACCAAATAAGTGATGTAATGTATCATTTCTTGGACTGAAACCGAAAACGTAATGGAGTACATTACCAGTAATACATATTACGTCTTTTAAAATTAATGCTAAACAAGAATTGTCATGTATGTACAGGGTGTCCCCGTTCAACTGGTCAAAAATGCTAGGGTATATAGAGGAACCATAGAGAAGTAGTTTTAGAGAGGACACCGATGGTCAAAAGTGAGTCATTTCCAAAATACAGGGTGTTGATATTTAAACAACTCTCTTTCATATAATCTGAAGGGCCAATGGTAGGCTGTTCAAATTTTCAGGGATTATTGATGTTAGAATGATATTTAAAAATTCGTATGATGCACCTCCATTTTCTACCTGGAACCATCCCAAAAAAAAAAAAAAAAATAAAATTTGAAAAAAAAAAAATTGTTTCAATTTTTAGGGTGGTTCCAGGTAGAAAATGGGGGTGCATTATACGAATTCTTAAATATCATCAAAGAAATGTCTTTTCTAATGGCGTTTCCGATTGGTAGATTTAGTGCAGAACTAGTGCAATTTTTTCTATTTCTCTCTTTTTCTTCTACAGGTCTGTTAAAAGGATACAAATACACTCAGTGCGCACTGAATCTATCAATCGGAAACGCCATAAGTTTCTAAGGACGGGTATTATAAAACTACTTTGACAGTTAACTTGAAGTTAACTTTTTGAATTACATGTATTTTCAGAAGTTAACTTTAAGTTAACTCTCAAAGTAGTTTTATAATACCCGCCCTAAACAAGAAATATCCTATCTTATGGCGTTTTTGGTTGAGAAAATTAGTGCAAAGAAAATATATTTCTATCTGTTTCTTTCACAGTCTGAGAGAAAGAGATGGGAATACACTTAGTGCACATTAAATCTTCCAATTAGAAACGTCATAGAGAAGAAAATTGTCCTATTTAGGGTGGGTATTATTTATTTATTTATTTATTTATTTATTGATACATCTTCACAAAAACCATAAAGGTAATTACAAGCAAAGGTAAAATCGAGGACAAAAGAACAGTATATAAAAAATAAAAAAAAGACAATAAAATATAAACTTAAAACTAATACAAAAAACACACACAATAAATAGATAAAATTCTTCTAATTCTAACAAGGAAACATTACACAATCATAGATTAAGATATTAAACCAATTAACTGAGAGAGACTAGTGTTGAATATATCAAATGGGTTTTCTCTGTTTACGATATTGCACTGTTTCATCATTTTATTTAGAGGAGATAGTTTATACTGACTAGTTTTAAAAATATCTAAGCTAAAAATCCTTAAGTTAATTTTAGATACACTAAAATCCATAAAATTAATCAAATTACAATGTTTGTACTTTATATTATTGACTATATAGTATATAAATATCACAGCTTGTTCATTTCTTCTTTGTACAAGGGATTTTATATGGAAACTGTTGAGCATTGCCCTATATGAGACTAAAAACGAGTACACTCCATTTTGCCTAATATACAGGAATCTCAAGAAACACTTTTGAACTTTTTGAATGTGATTTATATGACACTGAGCCAGTGGCATCCAGATTTGAGCAGCATACTCCAGGTGTGGTCTCACCAGAGCATTGTATAGTCGAATTAGTGTTTCCATACTCAGATTTTTACCATTTCTTAAGATGAAGCCAAGGCACTTGTATGCCTTATTTGCTGTATATATATAATGATTATTAAATTTAAAATTAGACTGAAAAAAGACACCCAAGTCCTTCACCTCACTTATTCGATCCAAAACCCTACCATTTACACTATAATTAAACTCAATATAGTTGGATTTTCTCGCAATAGACATTACAGAACACTTTTTAATATTTAACTTCATCTTGTTCTTCCTAAACCATTCACTCACACAGTCCATATCACCCTGTAACCGATAACAATCTTCAATTTCAGAGACCACTCTGAATAACTTGAAGTCATCTGCAAACAGTAGGCCCACTGATTGCTTCAAGGAAAAAATTTTCTCATTAGATTGCTAAAAAAACAACAAAATGTCCAGAGGGGTGCATTTTGCTCAAATTGGATTTCAAAATCTGATTTTTTACAGGATATTGAGGAAGCTTGTGGTAGTAATGAAACAACTCTTTCTTCAGTGTGCTTCAATAAACTTCTTTTATATGGAAATAGACAACGGAACTAAAAAATGTGCTACTCTAGATTTTTAACAAACTAATAACACACCCTAGTTATTGTTGTTGTCATGACACATTTCCCTTTTCTCTTTCAATTCGTTCTCAACACCAACTTAAACATAATTTTGATTGACCAGCAACACCTTAATTTGAAAGTTGGAAAAAGTTAAGAAATGAGAAATTACAAAAAGCAAAAAACTAACAAATTGAAAAAAGACTTAATGAATTTTTATCTCTTCCAGACTCAGAAAAAAGAGGATACTTATTTCTAAGAAATAAAGAGTTTTCTCAATTTTATTTGGCTAAGAGCCATATGATGAACCGACTGGTAACGTCTTTGGCAAATTTATCCTGCTGTTAAAACTAAAAATTGAATTCAAGTTTTAGTTTTACTAGCAAAATAAATTTGCCAATGATGTTACCAGTCGGTCCACAATTTGGCGCTAAATAACTTTCTGTTAGGTACCCCTTGTACCAATTCATTTGTAATAATAGTCTAAACTTATTGTTAACTAACAAGAACTTTGTTCAAAGATAAGGCCAGGTTTGTTTTATTAAAAAAATATACCAGGCCAATCAATAATCAATGATCAATTTCCTTTGTTGGACCAGATCTTATTTTTTTGGAATTTGTCTTATGTAATTTAGTTTTGATTAGATTTGTGCGAAAGGTAAACTCTCGGGTAAACTACTAATGGAAATCCTTGTACATTTTTTTGGAAATCACATAGTAATCAATCAGGAATACATGGAAATCACTTGAGAGTCCCTGGGAATAACCTGGGAATCGCTAGGAATCTACTAGGACTCCATGGGAATTATATAGGAATTCATTGGCAATCGCTGAAAATCATGTGGTAATCACTGGAAATATCATCTCATTCTAACCCAGAAATCGCATATCATTTTAAACGATACAGTGTACCGGTCAGTTGTGTATTTGCCTTTAAGACTAAGTTTTAGGCAACATTGAGTGCTAGACAATTTGATATCCAAACAAGTTTCCCAATAACTGAGCCAATAACTGAACCCGAGAC